CATTTATAGCAGTTTTCTGGTAAAACTTTTGAAGAAATCATGTACATACAGTAAGGAGAGGAATAGGTGGAGAGAGAGATGGTTTAAAGTCATTGAAAGCAACATATTGAACTAAATAAGTGTGGGCTGTTGCCTCCTGCTCTGGCTCGGAGCTGTTGGGCGGCCGCGCTGGCCCGACCTGGGGAGGTTCGGTGGCTACGTCTCATCCTGGGCTGGACTCTCATCCCCTTGACCCGTCATGTTTTCCAGACTTGTAGCGGAGGGGATAATAGGCACCGGTCTGTAGCATTTGGAAGAAAATGCCAGATATAAAAAAGAAAACAAAATTCATGCCAATTCTCTCTTATTTAGCATGGTAGCCTCCGCCAGCTGCTCTTGAGAGAGGTGGGAGCTGTAGGTGCGACGAAAGCAAGAAGTCATGTCTTATTTGGAGAAGGAAATGGTAGCGGCAGGACTAAAATGCTGACACAAAACTCTCTCCCTTTCTGACCCTTTTACCTTCTATGGTTATGCTCCTAACTGGAGACAGACAAACTGTTCTTCCTTTCTCTTTTCTAAAGTAAAATCCCGATTCAGTGAACTTGGTAGCATGAATGTAGCATTGTGGAACTATTGAAAATCTTACTTAACTCCGAAAGGGCCCGTTTATGTATCCACTTCAGTGATTTCTCTGTAGAACTATTGTGTATCTATTCTCATTGACCACTTGTAGAAGTAGGGGTGTGAAGTAGAACGGTAGATTGTACAGTTGCGTAACTTCTATAGGAAGATGTATGTTTGAATGAACATTACGGACTGTTTTACTGGTGCAGTTGACTGTAGTATAGTATAAAGACAACTGATGAATGCGTTTCTCTCTTTTCCAAAGATCTATATTCCTCATAGTTTGTGATGTTTAGGACATGAGCATATAATTTCCTTTGTAGCGTTCATTTGACTAAAGAGATGAAATACTCTAAAAGCTGTGACTGGAAAGACAATAGTGTTTTGATGTTTAAAGTCCTTTGTGCGAATAGCATCATTGAAGTTAACCATTTCTGAAAGAGGAAAACAAATTTCTTCCCCTTTTTAACTGGTTGAATTTTTTGAGTGGCTGCTGGGAAAGGATGGGATCAGCAGAAAATGGGATGCAAAAAAAAAAAATTATTAAATAAAAACTGTAATTATTTAAACTTTAGAGTTAAAAATAGAGCCTGTAACTTCCTCCCCTGGACCAGCCTGTAAAGGATGACCTCTGGGTGTGCGCTCACCACGGGCCCACAGCACACTGACAGCCAGGACCTCCCCTCCGCAGAGGCTGAGCGCCGGTTCCTCACACCTCACGCGCCTCTGCAGCGTCTTCTCCGGGGGATGCTGAGGACAGCCCCAGGCAGTGCCAGCGGGGCACGGCTCACCCGCAGGGCACTCTGCCCGGGGGAGCTGTGGCTGCTGAGTACACAGGACAATTTGTCATTCCACTTGTACCTGCTTCTTCCAGCTCCTGCTGCTGGGGTGTGTCTGTCTGAGGCCCTGAAACCCGTTTGTTCACCCGCAGCCCGTAATTGCCGTCAGAATTGCCATGGTGGAGCTCACCTCTAGTAAGGGTGACTGGAGCCAGCAGGTTACGGTGCGGTTGAGCTCCCGTCCCCGCCTGCTCTGTTAGAGGACCGGCAGCCCTGTCCTACCGTTACGCTCAGCCCCGCCACAGGGAACGGCCGCCGCAGCTCCTGCGCTGTCTGGATTTGCTTTTAGCAAGGGCAGGAGAAACGGGGACACCGGGTTAACCCTGGGAAGAAACAGATTAAACCGGGTTAGCTAAACTGGGTGTCCGCCCTGGCCGCTCGCCCCAGCCACGCGTGGGAGGTTCTGCTGCTCTTGCTATGAGGCAGTGCTGGATGTGACCTCAGACCCCTCGCCTGGCCTGGTGACCGTCAGCAGAGCTCTGCAGGTCACAGCATGGCCTGAGCTGGGACTGTCACCTCCAGGAGAGGAGACGGGTGGGCAACAAGTGCATGAGCTGTCTGGTCTGCTGCTCCTCAGCCTGGCTGACACGCTGGGAGCAGCCCCAGGCCCCATTCTCCGGTGCCTACAGAGAATATCCACCCGGCTGTAGGGGCAGGGGGTGTCGTCTTCTTGGATGTGGCACTTGTCTTCTTCAGGGTTTTCCAAAGAGGCTTTTCTCTTTTCCTCTCGTTTGGCTGGGAAGGAAAGGGAAGAAGAAAATTCAAGTTACCCGAGGGATGTAGAAATAGGTAGGAAATTGAGATACAGCTTTTTGCACCTTTCCTCATGCTGCAGCCACCAACTTCCCTTTGCCACTGACCTCCAGGCCGGGGATGGGAAACGAATGGGTTAGCAGATAATCCCTTCCTGCATTAAAAAAAAGACAACAACAAAACCAGACAGATCATCGTAGCTCTAGCAAAACATCTGACTGCAAAAGGCAACCAGCCAACTCATCCTGCCCCGTACGAGGACTCTGCTGTGCGCACCCCTGGGATCCCACCCGCTCCTGCCCCTGAGTCTGCGGAGGGGACGCTGGAAATGAATTTGTTCTTCATTTCTCAGCCTGGACTTGTTGCCTGGAGCCCGACACAGGTTTCCTGCTCCGGTGGCTTCTGGAGTGTGTGTGTATGTGTTCATGTCGTGTCTTCGCACACAGGCTCTTGCCCGTGGTCTGGGGGAGACGTTCCCCCTCAATTGCCCCCACTTGTTTTGCCATGTGCAGTAAAGCGTGAGGCAGAGCTATCGGTGTCATCCATGCTGTGTTAGCGTCTCTCCGGCTCCTGGCGCACATCCATTTCACAAATAGCTGCTGTTGTTCGGGATGTGACTGCATTAGTGACCTGTGGCTGGGAGTTCCTGTTCCCAAGGCTCTGCTGGCAGAGTCACTGCAGCGCTGCTTCGTCACCTTCAGGCAGCAGAAGTGGGGTTAGTTGAAAGAATGGAAAATGCTGATTTTTAAATAGCTGACCTGGCCGGGTCTGGGAATGGGAGCGTGTCCTTAATCCCGGCCCAGGCAGGAGGGGGAACGACAGGCTTGCTCTGCTCTCTTGGTGCAAGTGTAAACATTCAACCCATCAAAACCCAGTTGAAAGTCACGCTTACATGTTATTAATGGTGTATTGGTGCAGGATAAGGTATGTTACTGTAGGATTAAAATATCCGTCCAGGGCCCTTGGCAATTGGCGTGTGTTGCTGGAGTTACGATCGGAGGATGTGCTGGGTTGTGTCATCTTTCCTCGGGTGATCGGGCCACACTGCCAACACGGGGCACAGGTCTGCAGGTACACGTAAAGCTGAATTGCTCTGTGCTCTGGCGTGACCGTCCCTGGAGGTGATGATACAGAGGATGCCATGCAGGTATCCTCCCGAGGTATCTCCAGCGGCAATACGTTTTCCACACCATCTGTAAAAGTTGTTTGTGATCCTGTATTTTGTCCCACTGTCTCAGAGTATCTGTGGCTTTCTGCATCTTCCGTGGGAGTGTGTTTTAATTCTCAGTCGTGGAAACACAAGCCAAAGTCAACTGGAAACTGTTACTGTCTCGATGACAAGTCAGCCTTATTGCATACTATCATATACTAAAGCTGAGTGAGTAAAGGGGTGGATTAATGACCGCGAACCTGATTGTGATCATTGTTACTCCCAGGTAATCCTGCTGTGTGTGTAATCAGCTCAATTAATAGTAAGATACCGGAGTTTGCTGTCTCTGCCTAAAATGCCGGTGCGCAATCTCTTGCCGAGATCATGCATGAGCTATTGAAGAGTGATAGGAACCAGTAGCTGCTCTGATTTGGAAATAAATCCAACCTACCATACTGCCAGTCAGGGTGAAAAACTGAGAAGACTGGGAGGAATAAACATTATGGACATTAAATTGAAAGAATCCATCTGAAGGGAAGCTAAACTGCATTTTTCTATAAATGTTTAGTAAATTTTAAAAAAACTAATCCAACCTAATAATTTTTCACATTATTGTATTGCTTTTTGAGTATCCTTAAAGTTGACATACTTAAGGAC